TCTCAGGAACACACACTTACTGTACAGAGTAAGGTCAACCTGTGAGTCACACCCTCCCTTCCAGATTCTCTCCGGATCTCAGTGCAGGGTGCTGGGCAGCTTGGGGGGATTGTCCAGGGGTGACCATCTGAGGCCCCTCTGTTCAAGGGCCCATTAGCTTCAGATTCTGATTGGATGACCCCTAAGTTTTGGGTCAGACAGATTACGGAGACAAAGCCTAGGGAAGAGGGAGGTCCTAGGATTCCAGAGGGTTCACAAGAATGCCCAGGTCAGGCTTTCCTGATTCCTATAGTATAGGAAGTGTTGCCTAGAGACGTGCTACCAGTTTGGACTCCTTGATGTGGGGAGAGCACACCCCCATCACCTTCCCATGAGCTCAGGCGCTGCTTCAGTATCCTATTCAGCGATCTCTCCAGGCACTCTCCACCGGCTGACCAGGGTTAACCCATGAGTGGGCTTCCCTGGTTGCTCAGTGGTAAAGAATCTGCCTGCCAGTGCAGGAGATATGCGTTCGGTCCCTGGGTTTGGGAGATCCCCAGGAGAGGGAGATGACAACCTACCCCAGTATTCTTGCCTGGGAAATCTCATGGACAGAGGAGCCTGGCAGGCTACAGTCCATGGGGCCACAAAAGAGTCAGACATGACTTAGCGACTAAACAACAACAAATTACAACCCATGAGTGAACCTCTTAGCCATCCCTGATCTAATCTTACTCCCTCAGATGATGCAAACTAAAGCCCAGGGAGGCGAAGTGACTTGCTAAAGGCACACAGATAGTCAGTGGCAGAGCTCGGTCTCCTGACTTTCCACTGCCCCCTGCTGACCCCAGGGTGGGAGAGGCCACAAGACGCAGTCTGCTTCCAGGAAGAGAAATATACTGTCTCCGTATGACAGATACAGCGGTGGAGATGCAGCAACATTGGTCTGATAGAACTAACAAGAAATTTCCGTCCTGTCTCTGTTGCTGCTCCTTCCACTGCCTTCTTCCCCCTTTATTACCAACAGTACCCTGATATTCTGACACGTGTGATTTGAGAAATCTCACTGAGCCCCAGCTTTCAGGGTGGGTCCTGATGGGCTTCAGACTGCCAGTGTCTCCCCTCCCCATGGCCGCAGCGACTTGTTTGTGATAGACAGACCGGTCAGGGCCAAGGAGGCCATCCTGGGCAAGTTCTGGGTCTGACCTGGTTTGGTTACCAACTTGCTGTGTGGTATCTTCAATATGAGCTTTTTGTGTTCAATTTGAAAAAAGTGTGTCTTTGGGGAATGGGGTGGGGCGGAGTTAGATGATAGCTTTCATACCGAGGCCTGTGGACTCCAAGGTGGTGTTTCAGGACCTGGGGAACCCCTATTTACCCCACCCTTGGCTTTACCCAGATATACTCTCCTCTTCTCCAGGCCTCTGAAGAAGGTTTGGTTTGAAGAAAAGCTTTTGTATCTGAAAAAGCACAGTAGCCCCGGGGAAAGGTGACCTCACAGGCTCCTCCCACCTGTCCCACCCCTGACACTCCAAAACCCATGGATCTGCACCAAAGCTGAGAATCCAAGGGCAACATGGCCTCTATTTTCAAAAAAAGTAAAAAGAAAAAATCAACAAACATTGATTGGTCTGTCTGAAATAGTGCATTTTTTAGAAAGAACACTGAAACATGCTCAGTGAAGACAACTTGGAAAACACTAAGAAAAATCACAAAAAAATAAGTAAATTCAGTGATAATCCCAGAGTCCAGCATTGTTGGCCACGTCATTGCGAGTCCTTCCTTTCTCTCTCTCCTCTCTGGCTCTCAGCGTTTCTGTCTGCAAGCTCATCTCTCTCTCCCTTTTTTTTTTCTTTTAAAAAATATGATCAATTATTTAATTTTTTAAAACCTTTTTGTTTTATATTGGAGTGTAGTTGATTAATGGGGCTTCCCAGGTGGTGCTAGTGGTAAAGAACCTGCCTGCCCATGCAGGAGACATAAGAGACGTGGGTTTGATCCCTGGGTTGGGAAGATCCCCTGGAGGAGGGCGTGGCAGCCCACTCTAAGATTCTTGCCTGGAGAATCCCAGGGACAGAGGAGCCTGGTGGGCTACAGTCCATGGGGTTGCAAAAAGTCAGACATGACTGAAGCATCTCAGCAGCAGCAGCTTAGCCGATTAACAACATGACAGTTCCAGGTGGTCAGCAAAGGGCTTCAGCCACACATGCACATGTATCCATTCTCCTTCAGAGTCCCTCTCATGCAGGCTGCCACATAGTACTGAGCAGCGTTCCTTGTGTGAAGCCTATCTTTTAGTTTGGACCCTGATCCTGTCATTGGTCCTCTTCCCCTTTCAATTTGCTTAAGAGAGAGACCCACTTTACGGGTGGAAAAGACACTCTTGATTTCCTTTTCAGTTTCATCAAAACCAGTGTCAGTGTTTCAGAGTGTCAGACATGACTGAAGCGAGCTAGCACACATGCACATAGAGAAATACAATCCATATTAACACAGTAGATGTTCTTGCAATAAAGAAATCAGCATAACTCAATGTTTCCCAATCACTTTGGTTGCTAAATCTTTCTTTCTTTTTTTCAGGGAAACATTCTCTCCCACTTAACTCCTTTGGGAGCTATGGCTGATCCAAGGCCCCCATAGTTCAGTGGAAGGTGAAGGTCCTGAGAGCAGAGGGCACTTTCCCAGTACGGGGCACCCAGGTCTGTTGATGCCCACCCAGACCATTGCTCTGTGATGGGGTTATAGTCCTTGCCTCTCTCCACCCTGCTTCTTGATTTCTCAAGCTGCAGTCTCTATAGCAACATCAACAGCACCCCAAGTTGCTGGGTGGACCCCTAGTAGATCATTGTTCATCGGTTGGCTCACCGCTCCTATTGTTCAGTTGCTAAGCTGTGTTCCCCTCTGCAGCCCCATGAACCGCAGCACACCAGGCTTCCCTGTCTTTCCTTATCCCATGGAGTTTGCTCAAACTCATGTCCATTGAGTCAATGATGCCATTCCAACCATCTCATCCTCTGTTGCCCCCTGCTTCTCTTGCTGTTAATCTTGCCCAGCATCAGGGTCTTTTCTAATGAGTCTGTTCTTTGCATCAGGTGGCCAAAGTATTGGAGTTTCAGCTTCAGCATTGATTCTTCTAATGAATATTCAGGGTTGATTTCCTTTAGGGTTGACTGGTTTGATCTCCTTGCTGTCCAAGGGACTCTCAAGTCTTCTCCAGGACCACAGTTCAAAAGCATCAGTTCTTCAGTGCTCAGCCTTCTTTATGGTCCAACTTTCAGCATTCCTGGAGGCCTGGATTTTCCCAAGTGGTTTGGGGGAAGAATTCCCTTCACTGTGGGGAGGAGTTCGGTTCAGGCCTGAGGAGGGGCTGGGAGAGCCAGAGAAGGCAGGAGGCTTGAAGCAGACAGGGAAATTTCCGATATGTTTACCCAATGCTTAGGCTGAGTCTCATTTTATTTACATTGAACATTTCGGTAACCATCTGCTCTTAAACTAAATGGAAAATTATCCTTCTACTGAGATGGCAGTTCCCTTGGAGGTTTTTAATAAAAAAAATCTATCATTTTAATGCAGACAGCTCAGCTAATAAAAATGATGTGTGCCATTAGTAATTATCCCAGAAATACAATGTAAACTGGAAGACTGGGCCCCTCCTGCTGCCTGGAGCAGTTCCTCCTGGGGCCCTGGGCAGGGTGGGATGGCCCAGCACTTGTGGGTGAACAGGTGAGTATAAGCAGGGAGGAGCCCTGGAAGACAGACAAAAACCAGCATCAGGCAGACCGACAGAGAGTCTGGGCAGGCCTAAAGCTTGGGTCTGTGGTGTGTTGGAGCAAGAAGAGGCAAGAGAGGTCATGTATACCCCCCTGGGGGCTCACTGATAATTCATGATAATTACTGGCCTTTCCCCACCTTGTGCCAAGTAACCTTGCAAACCAGAAACACCGACCACATCACCCAGTCTCTCTGCGTGGACCCTCAGGAAAGGCAGCTGGAGGTCTCACCAGGGGTTGTAGCCTCAAGTGACCTTGGAGGCTAGACATGTCATACAAATCTATGGAGCTTCACAGGTGTGGAAAACACAGAACTGTGGGTCTCTGGTAAGCTGGAAGATACACTTCTCTCCTAAAAATGTTTAAATTAAAAAAACTGAAACACAGACTAGCTGTGAAATACAAACATAGCTGCAGGTTGAGTTTGGCTGTGGGCCACGAGTTTGAGAATCTGGTCTAACTCAAGAAGTCACCCCTCTTCCATGACCCTCCTCCTCCCACAATGCTAAGTTTTGGTAGCCTGGCTGGGTAGGACTGTGTGGGTTCCACACTTTTCCACACTCTCCCAGGCTGTGTATATACAGAGGGATGGGCCGGGACCTCCCTCCCCAGAGCCTGAGAAGGTCTACACTTCTGCACTCCAGCTGTGACTGAGAAGCAGATGGAGGAGCTGACACCAGGTTGGAATAGCGGATAGATGATGAATAATCTCAGAAATGGAGACCAATGCTTCCCAAATCCTGAGTCTTTCAAGGTAATTAGATCCTTGAGTTGGGTAGGAGGTATAAGTGAGGAAGGAGCGAATGGGATATCTGCTAGCTTCAAGTTCAAGTTGAACAGAAGCCTCATGTGGCTGAATGGGCTAGTTAAAACTCATTCAGCAAATAGCAAGGGACAGAAACCCAACTGGCTTAAAGAAAAAAGAATATGTTGGCTCGTATAACAAACATATCCAAGAATCTTATTTTTGCCCATCTCCTAGCTCAGCTTTCCTCGATGAGGATTTCTTTCCCAGATGACACCCGCCTCCTGGGCACAAAATGGCTGCCAGCAGCAACAGGCATATACCAGTCCCTCTCAGGAGCCTTGGCAGAACCGGCAAGTACCAGCCAAAGTCCTGAAGTTGAGCCCCTTTGTCTCTGATTGGCCCAGTCAGGGAACAAACCCATCTCTGAACCAATCAGTATGGACAGGCAACAGTGCACTCTGATTGGCCAAGCCTGACTCACAGGCCCGCCCTAGAGGGCAGGGTCAGTTCCGCAGAGATCAGAAGGACTAAAAACTGGGGAGGACCCATTCAGAGAAGAAGATTGAATGGATGTTTGAAGGACTTCACCCTACACAAGGAGAGAAGAAAAGAAGGAACTGGAGATGTATTGAGTGCCTCCTGTATGCCAGAGTGGTCTGCCCACTGTACTTACACTATCTTAAGCCTACCATGTATGTATTCTGGGCTCCCCAGATGGCTCAGGGGGGTAAAGAATCCGCCTGCAAAGCAGGAGACACAGGAGACTTGGGTTCTATCCCTGGGCTGGGAAGATCCCCTGGAAGAGGGCATGACAACCCACTCCAGTATTCTTGCCTGGAGAAATCCAGGGACAGAGGAGCCTGGTGGGCTACAGTCCAAGGGGTCACAAAGAGTCAGACATGACTGAATGAGCACACACACTTATGTATTCTACTGCCAGGTTACAAATGGGGAAGCTGGAGCTCCGGGGAGTTTGTTGCTTTTGCGAAATTGCCCAGCTGGTGGAGAAAAGGCCTTGCTTTGTACTTGGCAATGAACAGAAGGACCTGTGTGCACTGGGTGTCACCCCTCTGTGCTCACTCTGATCCTGTAGACCATCTGCTCGCGGCCATTATTCATTTCCTACAGGGGTCTGTGCTATTTCTTCAGTGATGAGTAGGACACAAAATACCGGGTCAGAGCCCTCAGTAGGGGGTCTGTGATGGGATGAGCGTGTGACTGACATCTGCCTTCCCTGTCTGACTCTGAGTTCCTAGCAGGGGAGGGATTATGTCTCACTCACCCCTGGGTCCTCAGGTTCTATCTCAGCTTCAAATCAGGGGAACCAAGGGGAATTGGAGATCTGAATTCCAGGCTTGAACCTGCAACCCAACCTTTTTAGCCTGCCCGCTCTCCAATGGAGCACCTCTCCTGACCCCAAGGCTCCTCAGAACATGGTTTTGGAACTGTGGGTGGTGGGTAGGAGAGCTTGCCAAGCAGCCTTTGGACTTGACGATTCTTTGGGCTGTGCCAAGAATTTCTCTGGGTGTCAGCTGTGCGAAGACCCGTGCACACGGGTCTGCCTGGGTGTTCCGTGTTGGAAACTCCTCTGGACAAGTCTTAGTTTCAGGTAAGAGCTTCAGAGGGATGCTCGTCCGACCTGAAAAATCTGGGAGGAGAAATGGGGGATCCCGAGTTCCTTCCCAAACACTTCACCGTGAGCCTCCACAAACTTGACACTGGTCTGGCCTGCATGGATCTGGGGAGGGAAGTCTGGACCCTGAAATCAGGCTCAAGGCTCCCTTCTGGGGTCATCAGGCTGGTTGCTCTCGATCTAGCTGTGACAGCCAGGCAGACCTATCACTTCCAGGCAACTCTGAAGGGACAGGCATGGGTGGGAGAGAAGAGAGGTTGCCCAACCCCCCCACCTCGCTCCACAGTCCCCTCCCAGCTTCCCAGTCATATCAACAATTTCTCTCAGCATTGTTTCCAGTGCCATTAATATTCATAAGCGACTTTTCTATTGTGTTTGCAATTTTCCAGGAGACAGGCAGGCCTGCACTCCCCCCGTGTTAATAGGATGCAAAGCTCACCAACTCAGATCTTATTAGCAAATCTCCATTAGATACCGAGGCCCTTCTGGGCTGCCTGATAGGTGAGCTTTCCACCACGGGTGACAGCCGGAGCAGGTCTTAATCCAATATGACTTTGCAATCCCCGACTACAGGGACAGTCCCGAGGAGCAGCTTGTGCTGGGAGCAGATCAGGCTGAGTCGGGCCTCCTGTTATGGGCGAAAATGGAATCGCTGGGGCAGCCAGAGCAGAGAGGCCAGGGTGGCTGGCTGCCTCTCCTCCCACAAAGCGGGCACACTGTCAGTTTTGTCTTTCAGCCACTTGGAGTTTTGTTTATTCAACAGAATGATCACCCAGTGCTTCCCACGTGCTTGGCATTGGACTGGGTGCTGGGATGTGGACATGAGCATGACCTGCTTCCTCCCTGCCAGGCTGTCTAGGCTGGGGTGGGGGAGCTGTGTTTCCAGATAATTGCCTGTGGTAGTTGTTAAGGAGAAGGAAGCCCCTAGGAAGAGGGCACTGAACAATATCCGGAAACAGGTGAGCCGAATCTAGGAAACATGGGGGTGGAAGACATAGAGGCTGGAGTTCGTTCCTAGCTCTGCCTTGAACCTGAAGGAATTACTTTTCAGCATTTACTAGCAGCATAACCTTGGCCCAGTCTCTTGACTTCTCTGTGAGGCAGCCCCTCTGTAAACCAGGAGTAATGGTAATCCCTTCCTTCTAGAGTTGATGCGAGGGTTAAACAGGGCCGGACACACTCGAAGCAATGGGTAAACTGTTCCTATTATTTATTTGGGGTTGCTCAGAGTTTTAACTCTCTTCAGATGAACTTCGGTTTCTGTGTTGGGGAGAATGAGCCCAGGAGTCTGAAGGTGCCTGGCTGTTCGGGAGCACACCGGTCCTTGTCAGCTCTGCGGCTGCTTGTTGCAAAGTCAGGGCACTCGGAGAGGGGTCCTGTATTCCAATCCGAAACTCATCAGCCACCGGGGCAACCATGGTGTGGATGAGATAAGTCCAGGACCTGGACGAAAAGTGATCAAAATCTGAGGAATCATGGAGGTAGGGTAGAGAACATGAAGAGTGTCTTTCTAGGTCTGAAATCTCATGACCTGAGGCCCGGGCCCTGCCCTTCAGGTCCAGCTGCAAAGACAAGTCTGCCACAAATGCACCCTGACACAGCCTGCAATGCTGGGCAAGTGTGGGTCCCATAGGCAACGGAGACGAGGGGGGAGAGGAGGTCCCTGAGGGCTGGGGCCGTCAGGGAGGTCTCCCTGGAGGGGGTGGAACTAAGGGGTAGCATGTGGAGGCGGAAATGGAAGTGTGATCTAAATGGTGGGCATAGGAGGCCTGGGAAGAGGCTGGAGAGTGAGCGAGTGGGAGGAGGGGACTGCCCTCAGGAGGCCACTAACCAGCCCGCCTTTGGTTTTGTTAGCTTGGTGCTTAACTAAAATACATGCGAAGCTTCAAAGGGAGCATTGTTTTTTTTTCTTGCCATAGCCTTCATCATTCCTCATCATACCCCACCAGGCCTAGGTCGCACTTTTAAGTTTCCTGCCTGATATACTTGCAAGTACCCTAGTACCCTGACAGGTACCCTAGAACCCTTGCAGGTATCCTAGTACCCTCACAGGTACCCTAGTACCCTAGAACCCTCACAGCTACCCTAGTACCCTCACAGCTACCCTAGTACCCTCACAGCTACCCTAGCACCCTCGCAAGTACCCTAGTACCCTCGCAGGTACTCTAGAACCCTCGCAGGTACCCTAGAACCCTTGAACCCTTGCAGGTACCCTAGAACCCTCACAGATACTCTGATACCCTGTTTGTGATCCTAGCCGAGTAGGACATGAACTTCTTTGCTGGGGATTCAAGCTCAGGTGGACCATTGCTCTAACCACTCTAGAAACTGCCCAGAGGGTCTGGACCCTGGGAAGCTGTTTTATCCCAGGGTCTAAGGCTCCCGGGTTGGTCCAAGAGTGGTGGAGTGTCTGCTCATTCACCCTGCCCCCCACCCCCCACCCCTAAATAAGGGAGCTATGACTCAGTTCCCAGACCCACTTTGGCAAAATGGCTGGACAAAATGGGATTGCTGGCTGATGGGTGGTCGAGGTCATGTGCCAGCCTCTGCAGTCCAAATTCTCTGCTCACTCCAGAGCCCCACATCTTCCCTGGACTCTCCCTCCCCCACCCCTCACCTCCACCCCTACTTCTCCAAGGCTTCAGCAGTGACACTGGAGGTTGTGAGCCATCTCCAGATGCCTGGGGATAACAAATGAGGCTAATAATATACCTGTGTGAAGTGAAAAGTTCTCTCAACTCCCTCAGTTGGTTTCAAGGGTGAGGAGTTTTCTCACCTGCACATCTCTCTGGGTTCTTGAAGGCAGCTGAAGCCTGGATGCTTTGCAGTCAGGGGCCCTAGGAGGGTCGCTTTGGATTTCCCGCTGTGGTGAGGAGAGCACACAGCTGAGAAGGCAGGGCTAACAGATGGTGGACGGGCAGTGTGGCTTGATCGTTGGGGACATGGTCTTTTGGAGTCACAGACTCCTGGGCTGGAACCCTGAGTCAGCTGCTGGATAGCTGTGTGACTGTGAGCAAGCCCTGTAGCCTCTCTGAGCCGCCCACGTGGTGGTTATGGGGACTAAGTGGGCTGGCGCATATAAAACACTCAGCAACGTGCCTGCCATATAATAGGCCCTCAATAAAGGAAGGAGAGCTGTAATTACGGTTACTGTTATTTTGGGGCTAGCCTCCTGGGTTCCTCAGCTGGTGGACAGCTGAGCTGTTCCATCTTTGGTAGAGTAGTTGGAACATGTCGGCTCTGCCCCTTGACCTCAGGCTGGACAGATCCCAGGGGTGTTAGGGAGGAGACTTTGAGACATTAGTGAGCCTGGCAGCTGCGAAAGAGAAGGGCATTAGATTGGCAGCTCCCAGCAGGCTCTGGGGCACGTACAGAGCGACTTTCTCAGGGGTCAATGGTCATGCAGTCCTACCAGGCAGAGCTGAAGCATCAAGAATGTCACAGCTGGCAGGAGCTTTGGGGGTTGTCCAGGCCAACCTTATCAAAAATTTCAATAACATTTTTATTACTTTTTTATTGCTGCTATAACAAAGTACTACAAACTTGATGTTTTATACCAATACAGATTTATTTTCTCAAGGTTTTGAAGGCCAGAGGTCCACAAGCAGTATCGTTGGTGTAAATCAGGGTGTTATCAGGATGGTGCATCCTCTGGAGACCCCAGGGCGGGAGTCTGGTCCTGGCCTCTTCTGGCTTCTGGGACCTGTCACTTTCCTTGGCTCGGGGCTGCATAATTCTGATCTGTCTGACCACGTGGGCTTCTTCTCTCCTGTCTGTGTCAAGCCTCCCTCTGTTTCCACCTTATGTAAAGATACCTGTGATTGCAATGAAGGCTCGCCTGGAATTATCTAGGATAAGGTCCCCAGGGCAAGATAATTAATCCTATCTATAAAGTCTCTTTTGTTTGGCATGTAAGGTAAAGCTAATGTTTTTCCAATAGTCATGTATGGATGTGACATTTGGACTATAAGGAAAGCTGAATGCCAAAAAATTGATGCTTTTGAACTGTTGTTCTGGAGAAGACTCTTGAGAGTCCCTTGGACTGCAAGGAGATCCAAC